CTGATGAGACTAACAGCCTGAATTCCAAGTGGTGTTGGGACCTGAGAATTGACTCAAAGATCAGTCCCAGTCACCAAGGACTGCAGGGACAACTGCTCTGGTGGCCTATGACTAGGAAGGGAAACAGCAAAGAGGGAGACAACCTGAGCTGTGGACTTTCTGCTGTCCAGAGGGTACAGCCATTTTGATTGTTTACATATGGCTGCCATTTTGGATATTTAAAGTGACCAAGGGCATAGCCGTTTTGAATGCTTACAAGCAGTGGTCATTTTGAATATTTAAAGTGACCAAGGGTGCAGCCATTTTGAATGTTTACAAGCAGTGGCCATTTTGGATATTTAAGATGTACAAGGACGCAGCCATTTTACAAACGGTGGCCATTTTGGATATTTAAAGTGACTGAAAAAGGCAAAGGGGACCAGAACAGATCAAGAGGTCAGCCACAGGGACCCAGGTGAGGAGAGGGAACCCAGGCCACGCCCCACAAGCAGCAAGGTGGGAAGGCAGGAAGAGAAAAGGCAAAAGGGACCAGAATAGATTGAGGAGTCAGCTGCAGGGATCCAGGTAAGGGTGGCTGGAGGGGTCCAACAGCTAAGGGAGACAAACTTGTCTGTCAGTTTGTCCTACTGTGGTGACGTGTTGCTGTGAGTCTTGAGGCTGTGCCACTGGTGTTTCAAACCCAGTGGGGTGCACGTGGTGCACAGGTATCAGCCCAGTTTGCAGACTGAGACAGACTAGGAAGAAGGAGAAGGCCATCCACTTCTCAAAGAATTGGCCATGGAAAACCTTATGAATAGCAGAGAAACGCTGTCGGATACATTACTGTACAACTTTATGAATAGTCCAGAAACATTGTCCAATATAGAGGAGGAAGATGAGTCACTTAGCTTAGAAAGCTCTCGAAGTAGGACTGGGCAAGAGCTGCATTATCAGAGTGAAATCAGCCCTACTGATATGTATAAGGTAAAGCTTTCGAGACCTCCATGGCACCACTCAAATTGAGGAGAAAAAGCAGCAAACATGCATTAATAATCAGAACATGGAATGTAGGAAGTATGAATCTAGGAAACTTGGAAGTTGTCAAAAATGAAATGGAATGCATAAAGATTGATATCCAAGGCATTAGTGAGCTGAAATGGACTGGTTTTGGCCACTTTGAATCAGACAACCATGAGATCTACTATGCTGGGAATGATAGTTTAAAGAGGAATGGTGTGGCATTCATCATCACAAAGGATGTTTCAAGATCTGTCCTGAAGTACAATGCTGTCAGTGATAGGATAATATCCAT